GATGGAGTCAGCTTGACCTCCTTTGGGAGAGAGATCACAACTGAAGTGCTGCTCCTCAGAAAGGACTTTCTGGTGCATTCACCAACCTAGTCTCTCAGGATGATGAGACACACAACAGGATCTCCACTGGAGAATTTCTGGGAAGTCTCTTATCTGTCATCTTTCATTTTTAAAATTTTGTTTAGGGCTTTGCAGAGCATTTTGACTCTGAACTTGGTATGTAAGGGTGGAAATGGGACACCTGGCTGCACCCAAATGGCCAGGTACCCCCATCTAATGGCTTGATGACCTTCTGAGAAGATGTGCCGGCAGACGCAGGTAAGGATGCGTGGGGTTGTGTGGAGTCCCTGCTATCGCTGCCGAGTTTCCACAAAACTCTGCAGCAAACAGCAGGTCTTTCTGAGCCAGGGGTAAGCAACCTTTCCCCTTTAAGGGCCAAGGGACTTCAGCTCCCAGAAGCTCATCCATGTTGGCCAATAGTCCCACGTTGGCCAATAGCTCCTGGGATTCTGGGAGCTGAAGTCCCTCGGCCCTTAAAGGGGAAAGGTTGCCTACCCCTGTTCTGAGCCATATCAAGGCCACTTTGGGCCAGGATCAGTCCAGGATTCCAAATGGGCATCTGGACTGGCCAATCCCAGCCTGGAGCCATTGACCTATGTCTCTACATGACAATGTGAAGCTAAGGGAACACAGGCCTTTTGACCCATGTGTACAGGCCCTAGTTTCTAAGGTGTACTCCATACCAGCACTACTCAATATCCATTGGTCCATTGTCTGGTGCTGGCCCAAAGTCCATTGGTTGCTGGTCTACAGCAAGTTTCCCAGAAAGAAAGTAGCATTTAAAGCTAATGGGCACAACTATAGTACTAATTCCTGGCACACTGTGGGAAAAACAGTCTGACTCTGCACTTTGTAGCTTCCAAATACTTTCTAAATGCAGACCCATGTAGTCTGACTGAGAGTTAATTAAGGTATGGTCCACTGTGGCAAAATCCAAATTAACATACCAAAACATCTTACTATTCTGTGTATTTTTTCTCTAGGCAGGGAAACATCATTCTTACATCAAAGGACTGGAAATGCAGACTAAGAATACAATCCCATTTTAGTTATACTTAGCATAAGTATACTTGGTGTTAGTATATTGGAAAAGGATTAACACAACTATCATAAATGCATTTGTTCTTGAATGTAGGACATTGTTTAACATCTTAGAAATTAAGGCAAGTCTTGTAACATGAGCTACATGGTCTTTGCTAAATAATAGATCAGGGGTTGGCAACCTACGGCCCGCGGACCCCCAACGACCGCCCCCCGTGGACCTCCGCCGCCGCGCATGTGCGAACGAGCTGCAGCCACCATTTTAGCAAAATGGCGGCTGTGGCACGCACGGCCAAAATGGCACCGCGGAGGAGGCCCGTCGCTGGCGAGGGAAGCCTCCCGGGTGGCACCCATGGCGGTGCTGGGCCTCTTGGAGGCCCTTTGCCGGCGAGGGAAGCCTCCCGGGGGGCACCCGCGGCGGCACTGGGCCTCTTGGAGGGAGCCCTCCTGGGGCCCCCGCCGCCGTGCGCATGCGCACGTGGGGGGGGTCGCTGCCATTTTGTTTTTCAAAATGGTGGCGTGCTCGACCATGCGGGGGGCGTGCACGCATAAGTGCGTGCGCGCCGGCCCCCAACACCATCTCCCCCCCCCCCCCCCGGCCCATCGGCAAAAAAGGTTGTCAACCCCTGTAATAGACTATATACTATTATTTACTCAGCATAAGCCTACTATGTTGAACTTGAGCTATGAGGATGCCTTGTTTATGCCAGTTCCAAAGTTGTATTTCTACCTTAAGCATAAATAAGGAGCACTACTGAGGAATGTTCCAATGCCAAGGAGATAGCATATCATTTCTGCCAGGACTGCTTGTGATTTCCACGTATTGTTGTTTGTACATAGGAAATGTCAACAGAAGCTAAGGAACTTCAAGATACAGTATCTGAAGACACATCAATCTAAGAGGCAGATCTCTGTGCATCATATTTTTATATACCTAAAGCCTTTCCAGAGTCCTACATTTGGGAAATCATTAACTAGATAACTGTATATATGGATTTGCCTGTACCTACCCTTAAATAGGCCTTAACTCTTCTTTCTTTCATTCAGTGCTCTATTAATTTGTTATTTATGTAATTAGCTGTTGTGGTTTTTATCAGGTTACTTTGATTGATTTTTATTGTTTTTAAATTATTGCTGTAAGCCATTTTAGCTTAATACCTTGAAAGGCAGGTGTAGAAATCTGTCTAACTCAGCTTGTCTGTCAACATAAACAGAGTGAAATCAGGTACCCAGGAATTTCAATTTCACAAAGGATAGAAATAAACCATTCAAACATTTCCAAAAGAACAGCAGGAAGTTTTCTATTTTTTTAATATTTGATCAATTAGCTCTTGAATAATTTACAAATGTAATGCACAAATTTTCTTTGCACATTGTTTACCTGAAAGATCCACCACAGCTTCATGACTAGAAACAGCTCCCTTTTCAATGAAAAGCTCTCTGAAATAATCACTGTTGGCTGCCAAAACAGATTTGTGTGCTTTGTGTACTTCTCCTTCAATAAGCAAAGTAACATCACAAAATTGATTGGAAAGTCGCTGCTGGTTCAGTTGGTTCAACACTGACTGACAATGCTTTGGAGAAGTTTGTTTCACAAGGCCTTTACTATCAACCTGGTGTTCCAAAAAAATAAAAAAAATCAAATATGAGAATTATGGAATGTTATCATTATAATTCATGTATAGCAATAAGTAATCCAAATGTAAAATAATCCTCAGTGCTAGTTAATATGAAAAGTTACTTACAAATACAAGCTCGTGTTTAGCTATTGGCTTCCTTTTTACAGGTTTTGGTGATGCTGCTGGAACTGATGCTGAGTTACTTATTTCATCATCTGTTTCATTACTGTCTTCCTGAGACATCACGTCTAATCCTAGCTCTTCCAGCATTTCAGATGGATCTGACAAAGACCGGGAACGATCTAATTTTTCTTGGCATTTGCTACATTCTTTAATATAATCTTTAACTTGTTTTAGAATACCTAAAAAAGGCAAAAAAATTACTTTATTAAAGTAGAAAATTATGACTTTCTCTTTATTCTTTCAGGTGCTATTTAGAAGTTATTTAGAAAATCTTAGGAAATCTTTTCCTTAATAATCATCCCTGTGTTCCACTGATGTGTCAAAGAAGAAGAAATTGTGTGTAACACCCACCAATTAACAGACCTCCTTGTGGAGTTTCATGCATATCAGGGAACCATGTGTTGACTCAAGATATCCAATCCCAATGCATAAATCATGGCAATCATGCATGCTGCAGAAATGACATGGTTCACATAGCAAAATGTGGGACAAATACGTCCATACTTCCCATTCTATATAGCGCTTCCTGTATTTCTGGCTGAGTAGAGAAACAATAGTGCATAGAATTCCCAAGTATATATATTTTGTGA